AGGTTGCCATGAGTTATTTAATTGAATCTTTGGAAATGGCACAATTCAAGCTGTTCTCTGCTTTTGTAGTTACCTAATCCCTTGCTACAAATAAAGTGGAATTCTCTGAGGAAAAGGATTCTAATTTACTAAGCATTTACCTTGGTATAACAACATAGGAAATAGTTAAGACTAGGCATCCTTGATCCTTAACAGCTAGTTAGATATCCTCCAGCCTGCTTTTCACACGTCACTGCCCATTAACTAACTTAACCAGTTGACTTACAACTATTGCTCCGAAGAGGATCTCCAGTACATAATTCAATCCTGTATCCTAAGTCACATGTCTTTCCTGACTTTAAGGGAGATATCCTATCTAATGTTGCAATATTCATTTATATGCATAACTACGCGTATGAAAAATAATCTACCTCGAGGGCTATATATAAAGAATGATCAGTTCAAGATATCCATCAACCCTGCCCTGCTAAATTGTATACTTTGTATCAATGCAAAATATAACCCATGGCCACCATGAGCAAACCACAGTAAATCTCATAAGTCACACACATGTTGCCTAGAGTTGACGTGGAAGGAAAGGATTTGTTCCTACGTGGAATCTAGGATGTACGATTCCCATACGCAACTGCTGCTTCATCCACGACGTTTCACAAGATAAACAGGAGAGGGTATGGAAGCGGAACTGTTAAATATCGCTTAGCACCCGGCGTTTATGGCTGTCAAAAAGGTCAGCAATTTTATCAACAAGACGGAATCCAGACTCGATAGCTCACATTGCGCAAATAGAGCAAAAGTATCAGCGTTGTTCAGGGCATCTCTGGTCGAAAGAAGAATGCATGCATTGTATCCATAAGCAATGTCTTTAGTTCCTGGACTGAAAACACTCGAAGCATGAGTAAACTCGTGGAGGGATGTGGTAACTCGATCCTGGCCATGGCATTTTCTATTCACATTGTCAAACTCAGTGTAGTAAATAGGGCAGTTAGATATGAGGTTTTCCGCAGGTATGGTGTAGGCTATGATGTTGTTTGTGCATATGTTGTATGGGTCACGGCAGTAGTAGGTTGTACTGCCGCCAGTAAGATTGGATGATTCCAAGGCAACCGCCGTGAATCGATCCGCTACTAGTTTGCGTGTTGCGTCATCATTAGCCTTGAAGTACTCCAGCATTTTTGGGCCTCCAGCCCATGCCTGAGCAGCTGCGAGAGTAGAAAGAGATGCACAATCTCTAAGAGCGCGCCTGGTATCGTCTCCTTGGGAGCCCTCGCAGGAGCTAAGTTTGGCAATCTTTACAAACTGATTCATAGCAGCAAAACTCTTCGCAGCAGTGGTGCCATCAACATCGATCTCAAGCTTATTGGACTTGTAGCGAACAACTCCGGAAAGCGTTTTGCCACCCGTATCTGTGGTGGGAACATATCCCTGAGTCTGCAGAACGACAGGGCCGCCCTGAGAAAGATCGGATGTAATAGCGACATCAAACTCATCCTCAAATGACTCTCCGGGGGCAAGATATGTGATGACATCGGATGAAAGGTCACTGGTCTTATGACGAACTCGGATGCCCCCGAACGGGACCTCAACACCTACACAGTGTCAAATGTTTATCTCAGGAAAGAGGGATAGTCAAACGCGAGATTCTTGGATGTCTATTAATACCTTGACTATAGATGGAGACTTTCTTGACTGGAGCAGTGTCTCTGAAAAAGTTTAGGTTTAATATATTGAGGTCTTTGTCTCCATTGTTCGTCACAACAGCCTTGATGACGGTGCCATCGACTTGAGTCAATTTGACGTCCAACTCCGCGCTGTCCCTAGCATCTTTAGCGACAGGCTGGATGACGCCAGCAAAAGCTGAAATGGTGAAAGCTGCCACGGCCAAGATGCCCGAGACGCGCCGCATTTTGTAACGGTGTTGATAAAAGGAAATGGATCAAGAAGATAATCGCACACAAATTGAAAAGCAGATTCTGGATACGGAGTTCTCTGCACAATCGATAGTGACAAGCAAAGAAGAGAAACGGGTAAATGGGTGAAGGTAAAGACAGCAAGGTGGAATATAAGAGAACGACAGAGTCGAAGATATAGAAAACTCGGAGATGGCCGACAAAACCCATTGGTTCCTTCCTCTGCTGGACCTGTCTGGGATGCATAGCTCCGTCGAGAGGGTGACATCCAAGATCCCCAGGTCGGGGATGCCTGTCGATGCACCTGCCCAACAGAGGAGTTCGCAGTGTCCTTCATTCGGGATTCTGGCCGTTGGGAAGCAATGTGGTGTGCTGTGTGTCGTGTACGATGAAATTAGCATGACAGTCCTCCCATTGCTGGTGGAGAACAGATATACGCTGCTATAGGCAGCGGTAGCAAGAGGAGACCATACGGATGTTTAATCAGCAGACCGTATATAACAACCGCTCGGTCAAAGTTCCACATCAGCAGATCTTGGGAGTAATAACGTTACGCCCTCCATGGGAGGAGGGGAACCGCCAACACGACTCTGGCTCATGACGGGCAGAAACCGGAAAATTATTAAATGACTGCTCTTCCTATGCCCAGAAACAGGAGGCACAATATTGGGCGAATCGCTCTGGATCGAGTTTCACTCCAGCAGATATTCAAACCATTTGACACGCCAATCCCTTATACTCAGATGATATAGGTCCGTCGCACACATGCAAAACTGAAAATAAGCAAAATAGAATGAGCATCGCAAAAGCGAAGCAATAGCTCACAAAATGCTTTTCCAGAGGACTCCAGTAGATCTGGGCTCCGGCAGCCAACCAATTGTCAGCAGAAGAAGTCATGAAACGGTCGGGATAGAGCGTTCCATTAGGTGCCCATGTGAATACCTCATGTCAGCCATTGGACATGGATGGCCCCGTAAATCAAGGAGAGATAGCTCAAGAGCTGAAAAGGGCTGTTGCGTGAGAAGGCCGAGGCATGTAACTGTTAGAATTTCGATTAGCGGCTCTATCTTCATCACAATTATCGTAAGCCCCTTGGGCATGTGATTTGGTTTCGAATTGGTCATACCAACCCTAACCTGATTTGGTGCGGGCTCAGCCCTAGCCCTAATTACTTCCAAGCCTTTCTCCAAATCCCTTTCCTCGTCCTTTCAGACCAACACGGCACACCCCACGCTGTCTCTTCGTTGTCTATTGGTCTTCTTCCTGCCATTGCGCGCCGTGTCCACTGCGCTACCCGTCTAAATCCCCATTTTCCTACGGAACAAGCGCTCAAAACGTCAGTCGATGACAGACCATCGCCTTACATTACGTGGAATCCAGAGAGATTCCATGCAACTGCAACCTCATGTCGAGGATGTCTGGTTTTGAGTTGCCATGATGCGTCATCTGGACGTTCCAACTTCAGAAACATCTGAGCTGCTCACCTGGAATATTTCCTAAATGCCAAGCCTTTTAAGATTATTGTGTACCCCATAACTCGATCTCGAGAGCCTACCCAGTACACCATTTCAAGCAGGGTCGGTCTGGACATTCCGTACGGGAGATCCCCAACCCGAACAATAAATCCGGCAGATCTCGCATTAGTGTGGCCAAAACAAGACTCGTATTATATTATTGACTGTATTGCATGCATAGGTCATCTGCAAGAGACATGCTGACATGTGCATTATCCAGAATCTTCGTTCAGTGCATCCTGCGGTATTTTGTGTGGGTGGTACAGCATGGCGAGTGACGAAACGGCTCGGGAATATGAGCTTTTCCTGGAAGTATTCCTGGTGAATAGCAAATTCTCTTGTGGATATACCCTCTTGTTCTCATTGCTTTTGGCATTGCCATAAACCTTTATTATTATTGTAATTATTATTTGAAAATCTATCTACTGAAATAAGCAAACCCCACTGGAACTGATGATCGCGAAGAGATTTGGGAATCAAACAACATGGCATAGCGTTTCCCTTTAACTTGATTGCGTATTCAAAATAATGTCTCTGGTCCTATCGGTCAAATGCTTCCTCTTTGGTTCGTCCTCAAAAAGAGAGAAGTCGACGTTGACGTCCCTCACATAATCGATGTTCTAATACCTGGGAGTCGTGTATCTCGTCTTCCAGGACTTTGGTTTGCCTGAAGCCTCTTCCCTATCCTAGATGCAAGTGGGATTCAACCTTTGCAATATATTGTGGAGATTTTCGGCAATCTTTGCTTTGAACTGAAGGATTTAGCTGAGATTATATCACTAGCGGTTTGTTCAGATACCACATTGAGCTTGCAAACGCCTACTTCCACATAACTTAATGGCCATTGCATATGTAATGTCTGCTCCCAATTGCTTCAACAAATTCACCCTCCATCTATATTTAACACGCCGGTTTTCCCTCATTTCAACTTTGATTTTGAAAACGCATTTTTGACCTCAACTTTTATCAGCATCAGCGTTTCTGGCTTCGGTTCTGCGCTTCTCTCTTCTCAGCTCTACCGAATATTTGTCATTTCATAGATTAAGAGGAAGTTCGATGTTCGCTTGAAACATCCCTGATTTGTGACATGAGTCCCTTAACACCCCCCTCCGGCTCTCACTGCCTTATTCAATAGTGATACCCCCGCTGAGTTGTGATGAGGCATACGACACACCTTATTTTAGCCTCTGAAATCCTGCTGCAGACGTCGGCGATAGTTGGGCATATGATCTCTTTTACTTATGTTCCTAGTCCAGAGCTCCTTGGGTATAAATACACCATAACTTCACTTTACCCTTTCCCTCAGCTCAATTATTGGATATACGAAATCAGCCGAGGTCAATTCTCACTCCATTCTTCAAATATGCAAGATCAAAGCAACCTCCTTTCTGCATCTTTCCAAGAATCATAACAAGAAAATATCTGTTTTGCAAACGTCGCCGATCTCAGCCGTTTACCAGGGCCAAGTTCTGACAATATTACCAGCGTACTTATGGTCCTCGTAATAATCTTAGTAGCTCTAGCTTTACCACCTCAAGCCATTGTCAACAAGCCTCATACCCTCCAATCCAAGCGAACCATGGATAACCTCACCTCAAACCTCTCTGTTACAATCGGGACTGCTTCCACCACCGAAGCCGCAACCGACCCAATCCAGCTAAGCGTTGCCATCCGGAATAACATCCCAAACCAGGCCATCACACTCTTAAAGTGGAATACCCCTCTTGACCCACAAGCAAACGTGCTTGGAATCTTTGAGGTCCGGGAGGCCGAATCGGGCAAACTTGTGCCTTCATTGATCGTCAAGATATCACGCAAACTGCCACCGACCCAAGACGATCTGGTGGAAATTCCCGCCAATGGAGTGAAGGAAACTCAAGTCACCCTAAAGCCAATGTCCTTGGATCACGGGGCTCAGTACAAGATTTCAGCAAAGGGAAGATGGCAGGCGGTGTGGGCTGGGGGCGTCGATGATGTAACTGCGGACCAGTTGGCGGAGTTTTCTTGTGCTTCGTTAGGGGACTTCGAGTCGAATACAGTATTAGCATTGTTTAAGTGAGGGAGAAACTTGGTTTATGTTTTTTCCTTACTGGACTGTTAGCCATATTTCTCTGTATTGCTGTTATTGATTCTATGATAGTGAAAGAAGAGATATAGGCACATTTCCTTGGTTATTTTGGCTTTCTTCGCTGCCTCACCCTCTTCTCCCTCTAAAGTAGTACTAGTATCTGCCTCCTATCTGCCTCAACTAATGTAGTAGTGTGTCAATATATATATATGATACATTTCACTCTTGCTTAGTTAATTTAATAATAACATGAATACAGTTAAACATGATTTTAAAAATTTGAATTTAATTTTAAAATTCAACTGCAAATATCTTCAGTTTGATTTATATGCTATAAATCATATATTTCTCAATGAAAACTATCTAATGTAATCTATCACTGAGCAGATAACCTTCAACCTCAAATCATCTGCATTCATCATATCATTCAATATGCCCATCAAATCAAAAGATCAAGTTTCTAATCAAGAAGGAAGGCTCTTATTAGCTATTAATATCTATAAACTGAGCAAATCTCATTCAAATATGCTGCTGCTAAATCATTTAATGTTTCTTATGTCACCGCAGTCTATAAACTAGCCAGTCAAGCTTCTCACATGAATGTTCAACCAAACTATCAAAAACTGACCTCTATGGAAGAAGATTATCTAGTCCAATGGATAATATCCATGAATGAGAGAGGTCAGCGTTCTTGAATTGAAAACATACAAAATATGGCGGATTTACTTCTTTCTACCTGAGTTGAATCTACTGTGGAAGAAAAATGGGTTCAAAGATTTATTACACAATATAAGGAACTGAAGACTAGATTCTCACACAAATACAAAAAATTTACAACTACGAGTGAGCTTTATATGAAGATCCTAAGATCATATAAGAGAGGTTTCAACTGGTGAAGGATATGATAGAGAGACATGGTATTATGAATGAGGATATCTACAACTTTGATAAGACTGGCTTTCAAAATGAGGGTTATATCAACAGCCATGATGGTATTACGACTTCAATCTAGGCGCAGATGAATGCGTGTTAGATTGCCAACTGAGTAAGCTATTTCAATGAAATAATAAGGTGATTTTACAAGGAGGGATTTGGGGGAAGATCTCATAATGTACTGGCAGCTCGCTAGGGAAGTTCTGAAGCCCTAGTTATCCCTCTGCTCTAGTTCCCAATCTGGTAATAGCCTCTCCGCTGCGCGCCGTCACAGATGGTGACTGAGTCTGAGAAACATGACAGGCCAGCAGGAAATCAAGAATAAGTGACTGTTATTGAAAGAGTCAACTCAACTGGCTAAGGGATGCCAGCTGGCCATGCACAGATGCTGCTATCTTAGCAAAGGAAAATAAGAAGTTAAGAGCTGCAGTTGAAAAGCATAAGAAGGAGCAAGCTCATACATTTATAGCTCAGAATGAAGCTCTACCAGGTGAGAAAGAAATAGCTAAGGTTCAAGCAATTGATCAAGCTGTACAAAGGAGAGTAGAGGACGTGAATCAGTCATCTAGAAAGTGAGCTCCGCAGCAAGTGTAATATATTTGATCACCCTACTAAACTCTATCAATAGACCTAAGAAATAGATCTATATTTAATATGAGAAATTCTAATTGATAATTGCTTAATTTTGCAATTTGACTTGATTTGAGATGAGAGACTTCACTCAGTGATCTTATCTGCATCTTTTTTCTTTTTTATTTTTTTATTATTTTATTTTATTTTATTTTTTACTTCTAGCTAAATTCAATTTAAAAATTAAATTCTAATTCTTATCTTTAATTTTAATTCTAACTTAATCTAATTTACTTTAAACTTGATGTTTAGAGCAGAGAGTGTATTTAAAGATTATCAAAGTTGATGATAATTTTAAAAAAGCATGTTTATTTATTTTTGAAATCATATTCAATTGTAATTTCAAATACTATTACTGTGTGTACTAACTAACTATATAAGTTCTAAATAAAATACAGAGACATGTTATTAGAGTATAGCTGTATTATTTACTAATATAATTTACAGCTCTCTCTGCATTTTTCTCAAGCCAAGTAGTTGTCATATCACTTTTATTTCAATTGCAAGCTGATTCTGAAGCTTGTATTTAGAAAGCTTCTGAGATAGCTTTTTTAAACTGTATTTATATTTAAAGCTATTCACTATCTGTTGACTGAACCTTGGCATAAGTTATGTAAACGTGTCAAAATTGAATATAATTACTACACTATAATCCTCAAGTGATAACATTAAAGAATGTGGATAAGAATGGTATTTATAGATTAACCAAGACCAGCCAAGAGATATGGGGAAAATATATTATATAGATCACTATTTAATATTACACTATGCATATAAAAGATTGTAAAGGAACAAAGGCCCCCTAACTATATTAGAGAGGACCCCTGAGAAAAAGATGCTGTACGCAGAACAATATCCAATTATGCTTGGAGTTATAGCTGTTTGAAGACAAGCCCATGCGTTTGTTAGAAAGGACGGGGAAGAGATGGGAAGGGATTCTTCTAAATTCTCTCCCTCCTTTATCAGTTGCAGCATCATCCTATCTAGATCTGGAGCCCGGCGACAACGGCAACGAAAAAAGCGAGAGCAGCAACACCGGGTCTCCGACAGCCAGCAGCAGAGCCGAGGAATGATTGGGGAGCAGTAGACTGCGGGGGCTGGGTGGGCGATGTGGTTGGAGTTGAGTCTGTGCTGGTGGTTGGTGGTGGAGACACTGTGTTGGATGTGTTGGGTGCGGAGGTGGGGACTGTAGATGGCACTGTGGATGTAGCGAAGGTTGTGGTTGGAACTGGAGGTTGGGTCTCAGTTGTGGTTGGAACTGGAGGTTGGGTCTCGGTTGTGGTTGGAACTGGAGGTTGGGTCTCGGTTGTGGTTGGCATCGGGTGCGTTTCTGATTCAGTTGGCATTGGGTGCGGTTCTGATGTAGAGGTTGGCATTGGGTGCGTTTCTGATTCAGTTGGCATTGGGTGCGGTTCTGATGTAGAGGTTGGCATTGGGTGTGTTTCTGATTCAGTTGGCATTGGGTGCGGTTCTGATGTAGAGGTTGGCATTGGGTGCGTTTCTGATTCAGTTGGCATTGGGTGCGGTTCTGATGTAGAGGTTGGCATTGGGTGCGTTTCTGATTCAGTTGGCATTGGGTGCGGTTCTGATGTAGAGGTTGGCATTGGGTGCGTTTCTGATTCAGTTGGCATTGGGTGCGGTTCTGATGTAGAGGTTGGCATTGGGTGCGTTTCTGATTCAGTTGGCATTGGGTGCGGTTCTGATGTAGAGGTTGGCATTGGGTGCGTTTCTGATTCAGTTGGCATTGGGTGCGTTTCTGATTCAGTTGGCATTGGGTGCGTTTCTGATGTAGAGGTTGGCATTGGGTGCGTTGGGGTTGGCGTCCAGATTGAAGGCGGCATGGATGAAGATGTTGGGTGGGGTTCAGGGGTGGTGTAGATATATGGATCGGCGGTTGACGTTGGCAGGGCGGTTGTTGATGTAGATTTTGTCACGGAAGAACACTTAAACAAACAAAAGAAAATAATGGGACGTCCCATAGCCGAGCTGGTGAGGAGCAGGAGGGCAACCAAAGACTTCATCATGGAGAACGCCATTTTGGCGGTCAATCTCCTTTTTACTCTTAAGCTGGGAAAATCGGTAAACGAAAGTCAACAGCGCAAGGAACCGTAGCGAGGGAGTTCCGCACAATTCACAGAGTGAAGAAAGATATTAGAGAAAGGACGACGCAATGAAGAACGAAGAAAGAAGAACGAATCAAGGCGGAAGGGAGGGCAGCCTTAAATACTTTCGAACCGGCACCACCAAAAGACTGCTCAATGGCATCGGGGAAAGCATAGAATCTAGCCTGTGTTCGTAATTTCCAGCAGCATGGGCAATCTCGAGTCCCTTAGCTCTCTATGGAATGCGATATCATAGTTCAAGCGGCCGATCCGAAGATAGTGATGTTATCATTATCCCCTTGTTACCGCATATAGGCTAGGGGCAGTTGTTTTTTGCAAACCTACTCCAGCTATAGCATATCATAATCTAAGCCCATTGTGGACCTTCAAACCATAGGTGAACCTGGAGGATGCCGGACATGTCTTCCGTACGTATCCCCGGGCACCGAGAGCGGGAAGAACCCATGACCAATCCGCTACTCCGTCGATTTTTGGTCGAGTCGTGATGTCACCAGCACCCTGATAGGAAGGCGGAAAGCGGCAAGAAAAGCCATGGGAAAAACTTTGAGACAACAGGGTAAAAGGAACCTCAAAGTAGAGTTTGGATAACTCGATACTGGTAACTAGGAGAAATGGCTGGCTCTCAGGAATGGCCGCGAGATCGCTAATAGCGCCGTGAGCACCCGAGGTACCTGAAAGACTCCAAGTTGTTTCCCTTTGATACCAGATGAAGAAGTGAACGTCCCGCCGCCTAGATCAGGCTAAATCGACAGCGGCATCCAGAGCTTTTGCATTTTCCAGGGTGCAGGGCAGCAAACTGGCTACGCCCACCCTGCAACCAGGAACGAACGCCTGAAAATAGCCTGATAGAGACGTTGGTCTGTCAGCCGCTGCGCAGCTGGATAGTAGGACACGTATGAAAATGAAAATCCCCGTTTGCGCCGATTCCTGCCAGTGTCCAGAGACATTTTGAGAGTTAATTGACGCGAAGTTCTGGACTAGCCACACAATGCTGGCCTCTAACCTGTGAAGAAGCGAGGGAAGCGAAACTACGCAGCTTCGATTAGGTAAGTTCCGGAGTCAGCTCATGCCCAGGCCAGATGACCCGTAAGCATTTACTGTCCTTTCTGACGCTGGCTAGTCAACTGATTGGTGGAGTTTTTTGAAAAACCTTGAGGTTGTTGGTGCCGAACGGTCAAACGTAGTTTTCAAAAAAAGGTTGAGGCATGGCTTATAGGTGGGGGCCCACTTTCTAAAACATAACTCGGCACATTATTTAGCTACACCAGACGTATTACTAATGCATCTCTAGTGAATCCTTCACGGCCCTCAAACACCAGGGTCAAGGGTAGGTTAAGGGGGGCTAGGGTAGGAGGTTGGAATTAGAGTTGTTAGGTAACAGCTTAAGAACCTGAGAAATATGATAAATATTACTAGCATCAAAAGCATTTCAAGATGTTGTGTGAGACAATGTGTGAGATATGACTAGTGTATGTCGTTTTAATGAGAAAAAGTGACATGATCTTCTTAACTAACTATATCATGCTGAAGATTTTTTCAGCTAATATTTTTAAAATCATGATTCGAATTTTTTAAATCTACATTCAAATAACTGTAACGCCCCGGCATGAAGTGACATAAGGAAACATCCATTGCTCCGTTTCTAGTTACCTGTTGTCAACCTCTCAGCGCAATTCCAATAGGGTAGTTAAGTTAACCAACCACCTGGTGCCAAACGGAACCAAAAGCTTAATTGGTTTTCTGTCGCTGGCTGGTTCGCAAACGCGAACTCTGGCATCTGCTTCAACTCTACCTTACCCTACCGTTGGGCTACTCTTATCGTTTAGAACTAGCCAGCCCGGCTCATCAGTGCCTGGGCCGGTTCCTTGGTAAATCGGGTGTAAAGTTGAGATGGTATTAAATCTCGCTGGAATAACCTTTCGTGTGATTTATGCCGTAAATTATGATGACATTTCTTCATGAACATCTTCATACACTAGTCATATCTTATACATAACTCTTACATTTCATTAACCGTATTTCACAATGAACTCGAACACACCGTGACCCAGGAACTCTTACTCACGTGATGTGGGTAACTAATTTAATAGGGAGTTACCGATTAAAATAAAAACTATGTACACTTCAATTATGAGTGTAAAAACCAACCCCGCTTTAGCTGCTTCGGTGATACAAAATCAGAAATTAAATTTAAGTGAACAGCTGTTAAGCTGTATCTAGTTATGTTAATTATTTCACTTTTAAGCTTATATAATTATATTATCAGATAGTTAACTATAACTAGTTAATCGTAGTTAGTATGATTAACTGCTCAATGTATATTATCACTCAATACAGTTACATAAATTTTACTTCATGATATATGTTTTACTTCCCATGAGTGCTAGATCAAATATATTCTGATGATGTGAAAAAATACAGTAATTAGAGGCCCGCTCTCTGGTGACCTCAAACCTGTGTTAGGTGTATACAGCTGGACGCGCTTGACAGAAACACAAATGTCGGATATGAATTTGGCGCTGGAATACACTTAAAAAGATACAACCAAGAAGGGAGTTTTTTTTATAGTGGTCAAATTTGGAATGCAGCAGTACCAAATGGTTCTCTCACCAGTTAACACTCAGTTGTCGTCTCTGTTGCCAGTATGCCGAGATATCACAACTCCAACAGCACAGAAGGCTGACCAACGCCACCACCTGTCCACGGAATTGCATCGGCAACGGCTAGACAGCCATTTTCATCGAGTCGCTTGAGAGCGACAAACTTAGCATTTGTGAGCACAAATCCATATCGCGAGCCGTGCTGATGATCACCATTTAGATGGATTCACTTGTGCCGAAAACCTGCTTGCTTATATTGTCATCGATCCGCCAAATTTTGGGAGCCGGCCATGGAGGAGGACCACTTCCACGACACCCTCAAGTACCCCCAGGGGCTCGATTGTCGCTAGTAGCGGAATTGCCACCAACCACCATATATGCTGTGTCTGGTCGAGATTGGTCGATAGGGGCAGAAGACTCTCCACCATCCAAGGTGACAGCCCAAAGCTGTCAGACCATGGAGTTCTTGGGCCAGTTGCTTGAACGCCGCACGGAGGCTGCGCCTCACGAGAGGCAGAACAAAGTCCGCACAACGCCGGTGGAATTGGGGCTCATCCCCTTAATGGCAGTGGGCGGAGACGTAAAAGGATCGGGGTGAACGAGCTCCGCATTAAGTGCTGGTCCATAAAGCTGGAGGATTATGCCAATAGTTAAACTCCAGTCAGGGAACAAACCTGTGTAATATCGTCGGGGCTGTAGCGAGGGTTTGTTGTATTGCGCGAGGGGATGGTCTTAATTAAAAATAATATAATTATATATATATATATATATATTATTTTTCATATTTAATTTCATATAATTATTGCTTAATTTGATGCATTTTTAAATACAAATGTGGTGAGCGATCTACGTAGGGTGATAACTTATGTTATGCTAATTGCTCAGTAATGACATGACAAGAGCAAAAATCAGACAAGTTCAATACGAGGATCTTGGAAGATGTTTGCTCCCGTCCTTCGCCTGACGTCTGCATAAGCTTCGGGGCTGGCTTGGGAGTGGAGCCGCACACTAACTCGTAGTAGTTTGATTGCTAACCTTATTTAATAATCGCCGTTGTAATTATCTTGGCAGGCCCATAAAATAACCCTTAGCCGCAGAAGACATTAGGATGAAAATGTTTCAAAATTTGTCAAGCTGCTGTGCCGGTGAGTCGATGGTGTCACACATTCTGGTCAATTTGTCTGCAAGATATCAAGAAAAGCAGAATTGATAATAACCTACTTGTTAATCGTAATCCAACTTATTTAATACCGAGGTTATGTATGGTTTCTCCAACTTGAAATCTACCTGCGCAGCAAGTCTTTAATATTAGCTCATCACTGGGCCTCGATTGCTGGTCTTCTTTTTTCTTTATATGCAAATCCCCTACTCTCGTGATGAATCCACTTTCACAAGTCGTGGCGAAAGGGAACTGGGAGTTGAACGAAGGGAGGGTGCCAAAATGGTCTAGTTTTACGAGTGCTAGCAAGAACGTACCTAAGATAGTCCTTCATGTCGCAAGAAGATCATTTTGCTAAGCTATCGGCTACGTGGGTACCGAAGGGATGCATTGTTGGCCGCATGTGGAGTCTTGGTCTTGGATGCATATGTTCATTGGGTTTAGCGCTACTGCTATTGAGCAGCGTACACCGATGTAATGGCTGGGCTTATGTGGACTATGCATTCTTCGTTTCATTTTACTCGGCTCCTTGGAGATTGTGGTAATCACAACTGAACTAGAGTTGAGTGAAGGAAGAGGAAGATAGAGCTGGCACGGGTTATCAGGAATCTATTTCATCATACGCATTCTACCCAATTGCGTACAACGACGTGAAATGTATTGTCCATCAAAAGATGGGAAAAAAGCGTTCAGTAATCATCCCCAGAGTCAGACTCGCTTTCCCACTTGTCCTGATATGCCTCAGAAATTTCTCCCAGTCCATTGACTAATGCCTCACGCTCATCAACTCCCACTAGTCTTGACGCGATTTTTTGTAAGTTCTTCACCCTGTCGCCAATTTGCGTTGTGGTAGAAAGGGATGCACGAACGCTCAGCCCAGAGTCTGAGGCGCCTCTATCTCTAAATAGGTCATGGGGAAAACTATCAAGTAGAGGAAGTGAGAGCGGGGTATGATATCTGTTACTTAGGATTTAGCTTGACGGAACTTGGCAAGTAGGCTACATATTTTTACGTGAATTATTTGAAGGGAAAAGGAAGGGTGATGATGAAATAACAATAGGGAATACACGAGACATATTATTATTGACAGATGCCAGAAACGGTTGGGAATTTGATAGGACACAGGAGTACTGACCTTTGCACAGTGCCTAGAGGCCTTGGCGACTGTTTGCGACTTTGCAGGCTTCGTGCTCTTGAAGTGAGGATGCTTTCGCCATCGAATCCACGATTGATTTCAACGTAACCAAAAACATGTATCCTTTTAGCTGGAGCAGAATTGGACCAGGAAAAGTCTAGGTCAAGTCCATCAAGCAGGGCTTCGTTTTGATCTGTTTCATCCTCCACTACCATGGCGCCCTTGTCCGGCCTAACATTGACCTCATTTTCTAGGTCCTGCTTTGATATAATGGCAGCTTGGATATTGAATATCTTTTGCGGGAGTTCTTGTGCGGGCAGCCAGAAACCAATTCCTCGATAGCATCGGAGACGGGTAGGTAAAGTCACACTTTCCAGAGCTGTTGAAATTAGAGCAGAGGAGTACCACTCCGAACGCAGGTCAGAGTTCACATATGTTGGTAAATTTCGAGGAGGGTCCACGATGGGAACGTAGGCCGATGTCTGTGGTGATATCTCGTTAACCGACCTCGCGCAGTTAGCGGTGGCTACGGCTTGCATGTGCTGTGCATCGTATATTTTTAGCTTATGATCTCATAGAGTATCTAGTTGAAATTTGCGGAGCAGAAGAAGTGACTCGGATTTATTGACGCATACACGTTGGAATCTTGCTCCATCTTCTAACCCCCAGAACCAGATACTCTTTTTTCCGAACTCATCTCTCAATCTGTCGACGTATCTCGCAGCAAAGCCTCCCCAGGCATCATCCGTTGAAGAGAAGATTTGGATTCCCTGCAGCTGATCACATTCTTCAGCGAAGGCCCGAAAGTCCCTGTCAAGGATGTCGTGCTCGCGATCTAAGGCTCTAAATAAGTCCTCGCCAATGCCCCAGTCTTCAAATGGCATCAGTTGAGAATTGAGTTCGTATTCATTTAATTGAACAATGGACCTGGGATGATAGAAGACTTTATTAAAGTCTGACCAGTAGCGAACTGATTCAGCAGTAAGTTGAGGTAATGGAAGCCCTAGATTCAGGTTTTTTTGATACTCAGTCAGTGGGATGGTGGGCTGCTGTTGTATAACCTTATTGCCGTCCCTTTATTGATAATAAATGCGCTGTTAATTGTCAATAAAAATTAGGTGAACATTAAGTGCTTCTTACCATAAACCGCTGGATAACTTGGGCTCTGCTTCTATCTCGTAAAGTGCATTGAATTTCTGAAGCGTCCCAAATCCTCCCTTAAGATCGTAGATCACTGTTCTGGGAGTGAAGGTCTCCGATCCATCTGCGCCAATCCCTGGACGGAAATGGATGTCATGGTCCACAGGGGACAACTCATCTGCGGAATATGTAAAATATGATTCCTACCGATGAGGTTAGTACGGGACCGCGTTAAGGAAGATTAAAGCGCCATACTTGGAAGTTCCAAAAATGAGTCGCGAGATAGTTACTTCGCTGACCAAGCTGTAGGGTTACAATCTCATGCATTATTATAGAATAGTAATGCAGACAATCCTCCAATTTACTTATATGTTATGCTTAAAATTAACGGTATAAGCTGCTATTTGGGGGGATCAATTTGCCTCCATGATTCTTCGGGATTTGCCACAATCAAAAACGAAGAAACAAAGAGATTACGCAAGAATCGGTGGCTATATATCAGTGTCTGAGTGTAGCGAAAGGATATCATGAGAGCTCTGGCCAAAAAATGACAATAAATGACGGGAAAAATTGCCCATTGCACTACATACAGTATTTCAATGTTAAACTTCAAAAGGACGTTGGTTGAGCGATTCCGATATCACGTGCCATTTCGTCCCAGAAGGGTAAAGTGGCTCCGTTGCCCCAGCAACCTTGGACCCAACGGTGCAACCTGTGCTTTGTCAACATCCCAACGCAACATGACAATTTTCACGCTACATTCCGAACCCAACGCTTGCTCACTTCAATAGTGTTGTCATACATAAAGCTCTCGGAGAGCACAAACAGTCCTCCTCGATCCGACGTCCTATCTTTAGTTATGGAGTCCATTCCCCTGAAAGTTCAGCAGTCGCCAGGAACACCCTTGCGTCCTGTCTCTCCTGATCGCATCAATCAGCAGAAAATGAATGGAGCGCCACTACATGCATTGGAGCTCTCTCCCCTTCAGCAAAAGCACATGCGGACGAATTCAGATGTGCAAGCGAAAGTGGCTTTTCTCAACCATCTTTCGAGAGCCAGCACCCCAGCTCACTCTCATCCTTCTTCCACCACATCGGCTGCTCTTCACAGAGCCATATTAGGACGGGAAGAGGCCGAAGCGTCCCTTCAAGCCACGATGGCCGAGCTATCAGAAGCCAATTTACGAGAACGAAAAGTCAGCGAACGTCTTGAATCTTTAATGGAGGAATTACATTCTCTGAAAGAGAGACAAGCTCATGAACGGGTGGTGTTCGAAAAAGAAGTCAGAAGAGCAAGGAAAGAAGCGTTCCGGGCTGGATCGGCGCTAGTAAAGGCTCAAGAAGAACTTAAGTCGTCAAGAGGCGAGGTAAAAGTTTTAAAAGAGGAAGTTAGGTGCGAGAGAGAGGCAAAGGAGAAGGCGACACAGGAAGCCTTTGAACGTGCATACGCATTAGCTGGGCTGACGGAAGAACTAGAAATATTGAAGGAGAAAAACCGCTCTTTTGAACCCGATAATCAGTCAGATATATTGGAGGCAAGGGTGGAGGAAATAAAAGAACAACCCAACCCCAGGACTCCTTTGGCAGAGAGGGACATGGGTATATGTTCTCCAAAATCAATCCGGCTAAAACGTGACCAAATGCTGGAGTCTGGACATTTAAGCAACCGCACAAGCGGTATTAACCATCAAATAACAAGTTCCCGGATGGGATCCCCACTCAAAATCAAGACGTCGCGGCGCACTTCCTCTAAAGAAAACGAGGATCCCGAACTATCCACTGAAAATGATTATCTTCTTAGAGAGTTGAAGGAGGGCATCGAATGGGAAAAGCGGTTGCGTTTGAAAGCAGAGGATATGGTGCACTTCCTCAAGATGGAGTGCCAGTTTCATCGGTGCTCTTGTCGTCTAGCAGAAATGCAAGGAGTCAAATATATACACGATACCGAATGGGAAAACATGAATCGAATTACAGAAGAAAGAGGCGCCCAGCTGTTTCCAAACCACCCTGGTCCTTCTCAAGAGGTTGAAACTAGAAATCAAATACCATCCCCTATTCCTCAGCCCCCTTCAACTGATTCTGCAAATGACACCATTCCAACGGAATTGCAAGCTACGGAGCCTGAAGTGGCGTTCTGTCCACATACTGGAACATTTAAAGCTGTTTCGCCCTCTAAAGCTCAAAACAACCCTGGTGCAGAACGATCCGTTCACCAACAAATAATTAGTCGGGAACATTCACCTTTGCCGGCCGTTTTCCAGTGCTACAAAACCCCCGAGGCTGAAATGAAAGAACTCAGACAACTCGAACAACAAATGGACCCTCCACGCCAAGCACATTACCCTCCCCACTCCATCGCACAACAATCACCGCAACCTCCGGCTACCCTCGAACCGGCAAGTTCCTCCCGCTCCTTTCTTCGAAACCTGCATCTCGAAACAGCCCAATTTCCAGCAAGGGCGGAACATGCTGACGCTCGAACGCCGAACATGTCAGAGTCCGTGACAGTATCTGCTACAAAAACTGTCCCAATCCATCCTGACGATTACATTTCGAATGCGAACTTCCCTATCCTTGGAACCCCTATCACACGAGAAGAAGCACTGGCGCAAATACGCGCAAGAAGGAACCGTGCACAATCACTGAAGAGGTCTGCAAGTGCGAACGATGCCCCTTCTCGCTCCTTTTCACGTCCTCAATCCCGAATTGCAAATTCGAGTACGACGCCTATGAGTGGGTCCCGAAGGACTCCTGGAATGGAGACGACGACGGGTAGTAGGCCAGCCAGCCGGGTGGTTAAAAGAGATTTCAGTGCACCTATTGGCAGCAGGTATTGAGAACCATATCCCTTGTGGGGAAGTTTTTTCATATTCACTTTTCCTTTCCTTTTTCTTTTTTTAATTGTCGTTGGCCAAAAGCATCACCCGCGATATCCAGTTATTATTTTGTTTTACATTTCTCTATGCTTTCTAGTCTTTTGATGTCTTGCGTTCAGATACCTTTCGTTATAGTTTAATTCTTTGATTTGAGTGTCTTCTTTATGGGCGTTGGGTGTGCGTCATCTTCATCCCCACCATGCTACAATCTTTCCTGCGAAGTTCCTATACTTTCTCCACCGCGCTCGGCCATCTCTCCTTCTCCACTTCCGAATACTTGAATCCGCGTTAGTTTGGCCTTCTGAAACCACACGTAATTTTTGTGATGTAACTTAGCGTGCAAAATGAGTTCATTGTTTTCGGTGTTGTGAGCTTCATCACTTTTAGCAGCTTGCTTCCTTTTGCTCTCTCTCTCTCTCTCTCTATATATATATATATATATATATATTTGGTGTTTATGCCATAAAATCTTTTGTTCCTGTCAATGTTGGATTTGTTTAATATGATCAGCAGGGTTATAGATAAGTATGGCTAGAATGCACAACTATGCACTGCTAGAGGATATAGGTATGTGTGCAATACATATTCTCCAGATGCTGGCACTCAAAAAAATTGGGAGTCTGCATTATTTTCTTCAAATTCAGGTACCCGGTTAATTCACTGCTATCCCTTTCAAGAGGAACTGGAATTTCGGTGGAGGAAAACGGTGTGCAGATAGAAGGGTTATCTCGAAAATAATATTGGCAGAACAATATGAGAGACATCCAAGTTCCAATACGCCGGAACATGGAGCGAATGGGAATTTTCTGTACGTTGGCTATTTGTTAAAATTGTCACGTATATGCCATTCAATATTTTAGCATATATAAATAAAACAACAAATATCTGCACAAGGGCGAGCTGTATGATGAGACTCAACCTCACTAAGCTTGGCCAAAGGTCCCTCTCACCTTGACAAAGGGTGACACCGCCATCTAATATACATTCAGTACCCATCACTGAATCCATCCATCAAAAATACGTAAACATATTACCTTCCATATATCACTTCCGCCTAAAGAATCTGAAGGCCACAACAGCTAATTCTGGCGCCATGTACCTTTGCTTTGCGCCCCCACCACACCTGAACAAGTTCCTCGACGAATGCACGATCCGATGCACTCCACATATCCAGACCCATCTCCGTCATGTCACTGGATGTAATGGTCACGATTTCGTCATCGTCGGCTGAGTCGTTGCTAGGCGATGAATGGAGGAGCGGTTCATTTAGAGAGGAAGTTGACACGTTGGGTGCTGCAGTGTGTTCATCCATATCACTGCGGCAAGCATCCGCCCCGGTCTGTTCGTAGTTAAAATACTCTTGATCGGCGTCGGCTGAGTTGTCGTCCTGGCGGGCGATGACGTCTGAAATGACTGTGAATATCTGGGTGGTTAGGCGGCGGAAATACGTTATCAGGGCTATCTCTCGTGGTTGGTGGCTGTTCCGGTCTGCTAGGGTTATGCTACCGCGACGGCTCAGGTTGCTTGGATAGGGGGGGTTGGGGGTGTTTTCGTTGTCCATTAGTAGTAACCGGGAATCCTGTTCATTTTCTCCTTCAAAGGCGACTTCACGCTTTTCACCAGCGGAAGCCCACCAAATGAAGGAGGTGTACGCGAGAAGTGGCCAAGAGACAGGTTCGACAATGGAGCTAGAGGAGAATGTGGAAGCATTGTCTGAATCATCTTCATCACCCATGGTAGAGGCAGATTCGAACCGAGAAAGTTCGTGAAGGCCACTCCTAAGGGTTATATATCGACGTGCATCTCGCTGGGTTGCCTTTAAGGATATAGGCTTTTGATGACCGTTATCTGTGGATAGTGGTGATGAGAGCTGTATTTTAGGGTAAATTTTTGAAGGTGCATGTTTAGTATAAGCAGGTGGTAAGTTTACGAGGACATCATATATCTCAGGTTTGAGACTGAGAACCCGGTCAGTAGTACATGCAATCCAGCAGCCATCGGGATCCGAGATGGACGGGCTGGGTAATGATAATAGATACGGCATGTCGTGAATGCCAATACTGAACATTGGGCGAGGTCTAAGAGATGGCAGAGCAGTAGATGGAAGAAGAGGGGCTAGCGACTGAGGAAGGGAGGACAGAAGAGATAAATCATAAACTTTGGTTTGGATGTTAGCTGTCCCGCAACACCTTTGGGCTAGGATAAGGGGGGCCTACCGAAATTACACGATTCTTCCACGGGAGCCTCCCCAACAAAAAGAATTCGTTTTCGTAGTAAAGCTGCTCTATATAACTGGAAAACCAAGGGTCCAAAAGTGTTCATAAAATCTGGAAGAGACGAGGCGGGATGATAGGGAGCGAGTGATTGCTTCGAACTCATAAGTGCCGTGGCATCACTGAGTGCTCGCTGTCTGGTGTATCCCTCACGAATTGGTGTTTTCAAGCTCGCGATGGAGCCTAAGGGAGAATCGGAGGAAGAATTAACTTCGTCAGAGAACTGATACATTTCCCAATACGCCGACAAAGGTTCCATGTTATCAGGGTCATCCGCGAAGCTCCTGTTATAGAACCATTAGGGTGAGTGATCACTTGATTACAGCGACATTTGGTCTTAAGCCGTACCTGGCTAATTCCTTAAGTTTCGCCGCATGCCTCCAGGCCTTCCCCAATCTGCCATAGCTAAGTGGAACCAAAACGCCAACTGCCATCATCAGGGCATTCCTTTGGGACTCGGCTGCGGGGTGGTTGATAAATGCACTGATACCGGCATGTTGATCGTCGACGAAGTATCTACGGAGCCAACTATAAGAAAATGCATATGGCTAGGACCTGAAAGATCGACATACATAAGGTCTTCCCTAACATTGTGTAGGCCGGAAGGAAGGGATTTGTATTCAACAACGTTTTCCAGCACAACTGTCATGTATTTATTAGTCGCTGCGACGATGGAATAGCGGTGACTCTGACATACCATCTGGATTGGATCGTTTCCATTTTATCGCATAACTACAGGTAAATAACAGATTGCCATCATCAGTACATCATATAGATCAATTGTATCCGGGCTGCCTCTCTATCCTACGGAGTATGTTTTTACTCACCCGGCCTTGATGTCAAAGCATATGAGGAAGAGTGCCGCAATACTAGGCGGCGCCTCTGGGAATACAGTAACGTCAGGTCTGGTAGCTCTAACGCTCCTCCTATCTGACGCCATGAATGTAGAGATGCAGGTTCGAGATCGCAGATTCCATAGGGCGTTGTCTGTGCCGCAGCATGCAACGTGGTTGAAGAAGTTCGTGGAAATCCAACAACAATATGCGGCGGTGGCTGTGAGAGGATTGAGGTCCTGCCGTGGAAATTATTATCGCCTTGCGCGACCATGCTACGTCCACGCACAACTGCTATCTTCGGCCACGCACTCGAAGCAGATTTCCCCGGATTTTGCACTAGCGCCTAATCAGTATATTTATCAAATTAACGGACGACATTTTTAGTGATTGTTTCCTTTCCCTCCTTCATCGTTCGTTGGACCACCAAGAAGAGAAGTACGCAGATGTCCAATTCTACTCTTTCTATTCCTCATCACCCTTACTACCCCCTTGAGGCAGAGCTCGTTGGGTACGTCGCCAACGAATGGTCTACTTTGACTCTTATCTTCGCATTTGCGGCAGGATGGGCCTTTATTCTGGGATTCATATCGGTCGTCCTGTCTTTCATTACGCCGAAACTGGGGAGGGCCGATAAGTTGGCAATTTTATGGTTTATTTTTAGTATGTAGATGCACAGTGCATACGGAGCAATCACTTTTGAGGATATATTGCTAATATTAAATCGTCACAGCTGGAAGTATTCATTTCTTTTTCGAGGGTTATTTCGTCATCAACCACACTCGCATGGCGCTGGCGCAGGATTTCTTTGGACAGCTTTGGAAAGAATACTCGCTCTCGGATTCCCGATATTTAACCTCTGACCCGTTCGTCCTGTGTATGGAAACAATTACGGCGGTGTGTTGCTCCGTTGCCTGTCTTGTACCTCTGAGATATTGGATGTATCTATCACATCGCAGTGGTGGCTAACAGGTGCGATTATAGATTCTCTGGGGACCCCTTTCCTTCGTCCTTGTTTATCTGATCGCGAGCGAACATCCTCTCCGCTACCCCCTTCAACTGATCGTGTCAAGTGGCGAGATCTATGGGGACATCCTGTACTACGCCACGAGCATGTTCGACCTTTACCGCAATGGACTGAGTTATTGCAGACCAGAAGCATATTATTTCTGGGGCTACTTCTTCTTCATGAACTTCATCTGGATTGTTATCCCTTCTTGTAAGAAACTTCTCAGAATCCCGTACCATCTTTGCTGGCAGCCGGGGGAAACTGACGGTAATTCATAGATTATCTGACTAAGAGCATTGGTATCATGTCTCATGCTGTTCAATTCCTAAACCGGAAAGCAGGCAAGCGGAAAACACAGTGATCAGGGTCTTAATAGCCAATGGACAGTTTACTCTCTGGCGGCATCCAGTCCGTCCATAATTCCGACGACCGAAGCCTTGCACTATGAGATTTGTATACAACAGGGTCTATGATTCTTCCGTGAAATGGCTATCTTACTTAATATATTACCTTCTAATCTATGTGAATGGGGGAACCAGAAGGAAGAGGTGTTTGTTTAACATTTGTATTTACAGTAGGTTTGATTGTTGCCACTACCCCTGAATAATAGACCCAGTAACTATCTCTCTGTATAATGAAAAAAAAAAAAAAAAATTTTGGGCGTACCTTTTTACACATCATGTGACACCCCATCAAAATTTGAACTTGAATTATGATCACTGTTTGAAGAACCTACTACCAGGTATCACTTTTCAAATTCAAGGTGTGTTCTGTTATCTACATGGTTTCCTGCAGTCTGAGGAGAATCAGGACGCAGTCTTTGTGCAGGCCTAGATACATGATGCTGAATTTGATCAAAGTATTCACAATAGTCATAATGTCAAAATTGATGTTGCCATAACCCACCATCAGTTATCTGTGTGCTATTTGGAGAGCCAAACCAATTTTAGAGCCTTTTTATTAAGCAGGATGGATAACTAACTAACTAAATAGTTATTTGTCCTGACAGATATCCTTCCCGCTAGACCGTAACGTCCTTTTTCATACAGGATGGGAAATGAAATTAGCTCTGCGGTAACTTGCCGCCGCCTTTCTCCTGGCCAGAAGCTAGCTGAAGGCAGATTCTCGACAGCCGCGTTGAGAGCAAACTCTGTGTTCCACTGGTCTAATTCTATTGCTTTTCTCCCAACTTACATATTCAATGAGTGTGATGACGTGCAACAGCTGCAGATTGGCATGTTTAAAGGAGTGCGATAAGAAAATAGGATATGTATGCAGCAGAAGAGCAACTGCGGGATTGAACTGGCGTGTTATAAAAATAGGTGTGAAAATGAGCCGTAACAGAACTGGAATGGAAGCTGTTACATGATGTGTAAACGTACACTTAATATCGGCTCTTCAATATATATAAATATATAGAGAGAGAAAAGTGATATAGAGAGATTTTACACTTCTAATACGTTTATCAATATAAATATTTCTATATTGCTACTTTATGGATTATATTGCAGAAGAGTAATTTAACTGCTGCTTAATCTACATCTATACAAAAAAAACAGCTGACTGACAGCTGCAACACTTCATATTCTCTTCACTACATGAATAACAAAAAACACTGTATATGACGATGGCAAGCTTGGTACATTGCAGAATTGCAAACTACGAGACACGACTATATGGTGGAAAAATGATCACGTTACAGAAGTGTCCGACAGCATATTCATATTCAGGTGATTTATCGAGGTGTTGCAGTTACCAGCAGGCTGATATCCACCTTAATTTGTCATGGGCCGTAGCAAGCAGAAGCATGTTATGTATGCACAGTTAATAAATAACCAAGGACGATTTCTTTTTCATCCCTGCAACTCTCACCGGGGGAACCGTATCTATCTCAAGTATTTAGATACCTTTATCTTTCTTCTTTCATCAAACTGAGAGCTGAGGTATTTGCACAAATTCCTGCTGTCAAGCCATACTCCGTAGCAGGCCACTTCAGCCTTAGTCTGGCCTACCCGATCCAGACTTGTAAACAAAGCATTACTCCTCTCACAAATGTCTCACACACAATCACAAATGAGAAGACAAACAGCACTACAAATATCAGTGTTGTTTTCGGGTTCTATGTGGAGTACTGGCTGTGATGTCAGTTTTAATACACGATGTCCTTATTCATGGTTGAAATTTGGCAAGATACTGCTGGTGGTTGTATTTATTTAGCTCTGGAACATCGAGCTCCGATTTTATGCCTGTTGTCCCGGCAGCTGGCTGGTCGCATCGGCGCTAGTGGATGATGGCTGGAGAGGGGCTAAACAAACCACTGAGCCATTTTGGTGGGAGATCACCAAGTGCTGCAGATGATCAGGAACAACTCTTCAGTCTCCTTCGAATAATCTCTGACCAGCTGCTCAGAGAAGGATTGTCGATATATCTATCCATAGTTCCCTCTTCTGTTTACTTTTGCGATCTCCAGGGACGGATCCGAAATTGGAGAGCATATCGGAGGAATGCAAATTTTTAGTGCGGCAGAGGGGTGATCGTGTAAACCAAACCAAGCAGGCCAATGCGCCGCGTATTCCTGCTTGATATACTACGCCTGACCGTGAGTTGACGCAAAAATATGATTGAAGAGGTTGTTGTTAAATGTCAGAAACTATGTCCCTAGTAATGCCTGCTCCTTCTCCTCGTCGACCTTCCAACCGTGGAAGCGCGAAGTCTGCGCCCTCAACTGGGAAACCGCTTGATATTGGACAACCATTAGGTATCCATGACACAAATTCGGTGCGGGAAAAGGTTCGCAAATGGCAGCAGCAGGGTGGAGGCGTTATAACAGAAAAGGATGTTGGCCCTGGGAGTGACAGCGACCATGTTTCCCCCGATCAAAATTCCCGTTCATCCAACAGGGCGAGCGATTTGAGAAATAATAAATACAGCAGCAGCATGTCGAGAGATGGCAGCAAGAATAAGGACCACAGTGTTAAGCGAGATCGAAGCATCGGCACCCCGAAGAAACGGGTTATCAGTGATGGACACTGGAGGAAAAACAGGTCCCCTCCAAGCACTCCTCCCCAGAAGGTGACGCCTAGAAAGAAAACAGACGTGTTCGACCGATATGGAGATTCTACATCATCGGCAGGGGAAAAAGGGAAAACTTTCGAAGATAGCAGCGGCGCAAAGTCTGGGTCTAAGCCCTTGCCTGATGACGGAATCAGGGTCTATGCATCCTCGATGCCCTCTCCTAAAAAGAGTGAACGCTCGAAGTCTCAGCCTACTCAAGAATCGCAGTCTATGCCTGAAGAGAAAGAAGACGGTGCTGATAGCGATCAGGTCCGTATCTCAAAACATCACCCTCCCAGGAAGCAAAAGGGCAAAGATGACACGAGAGAGAGGCATTTACGGAAAACGTCTGTTGACAACGAAATGTCAACCGAACCCAGTGAGGTCTTCCAGCTATCTGAGCAAGAGAATAGGCCTCGACGACAAGGGCACAAACTTCCGCCAAGACCGCTGCGACCTCCCAAGGGAGGTATTTTTAATCATGTTATCGATGAGTCGAAAAAGATTTTTGGGAAACATGAGCCCCCGCCAGCCCCTCGATACCACGGATCAAGTGTCGAGGCATGGCTTTCTTCAACCCCTGACCCGTTTTCGGAAGGTGAGGATCCTCTCGTCGAAATACCAGCACCCTTATCACTGTCTCGGAGGGAAGCAGTTCAGAGACGTCGAGACGACGACGATGCTACATCTCGCCCTACGCCGCAGCTGAAAAACACTAAAGAGAGACGTAGTTCAGATGGGAATATAAGGCGCTTTCATATCCCCCCTTTGACGGATACGACTTCTGTGCATCAGGACGACCTATTATCCTACTCTGCGCAACCCAGTGAAAAATCCAGAGATACCTGTAAATCTTCACCATCGACTTTAAAAAGAACAGGTGTGAAAAAGCACCCAAATACGACATCTGAAACTCGCAAAATGTCGACTCTCCATGAATCACTCGACGAAGCTCTTCAAGGATCAAACTTAGGCCTCCATTCCTCCTCAGACAGTTCTGAAGTGTCATTGTCTGACCGTCCTCCACCTTTAACATTGAGGAGGCCGTTTCCAGGCACCGGCGTTCATCGACTCTCGACAATAATGTCCGTGGAAACACTGAGTACCGCGACAGAGACGGTTCGATTTCAAGACGACAAAGAGACCGATTCTCGTGCCAATCCTCAAACAAATTTAGATGAGCAGTTGGAATCAGAGGCTAAGAACCATTTTGATCCGAACCTGCTCCCTGACACTAAAAGTGGTTTGAAACGTCGACTTACAACTCATGCCGATCTAATATCTGTTTTATCCATACCTGGACGTGGGGGTGGCAGTATAAGATCTGCCAGAAGCATTCGTACGAATAGAAGCCGCTTGGCAACCGCTACTGTCGGAGATATAATGCAGGAGTTTTCATCAGATGAAACGAAATATATACGTGAATTAAGGACACTTGTCGGTGGTGTCATACCTGTTCTACTATCATCTGTTTTATCCAAGTCCGATTCAGCGATTGCCGCCGGCCTTTTTCGACCATCTGGCGACCCTAAAGACGAAGAAAACTTCACAAGACCTATTGTGAATATGGGAATTGCACTCGAACGACTAAAAGCGCTTCACAGGCGAGCCCCATTGACGAATCCTGATTCTCTGCTTTCCTGGGCACAATCAGCGCAAAAGGTGTATGCGGATTATTTAAAGGCCTGGCGTCTTGGATTTCAGGACGTTGTCGTCAACCTTGCACCGCCTGATGAGGATCCATCTCATGGCATCAACTCAGAGACCCAAAGCCTATATGCTGGGATGCCGCAAGATGAAGACGGCGATGTGGTAGACGGAGATGGTGAAAAGGTAGATGTGGCCTTTCTTCTCAAGCGTCCCCTTGTTCGACTTAAGTATCTCGCAAAGACTTTTAAAGGCATCAACTATGTCCAGACATCCCCCAAGGCAGAAGAGATGGCCATGGTTTACCAGAAGCTTGTTACGGAAGCTAGACAACGTTCAAACGAAGAACGAGCAAGACTAGAAGACGATCTTGCGGCCCACATCGATGCTACTAGAGCCCGAAGCCCCAAGAGCCTCGCAGTTCTGACAGACGTCAGCCTTCACCAAAATCGGCGTGTCCAGGCGCGCGACTTCTTTAGTCTCTCTTTGCTCCATTCAAGTGGCCAGCAAATCGATTGCCGGGCTGAATTGCTTCTTCGTGATAATCCCCCTGAAGAGGGACCGGGTGGTGACCTATTAATATGCGAGGTGGATGAGACTGATCGATGGCTTTTATTTCCTCCCATCGACCGTGGTCGGGCATCTGCTCGAAATGGTGAT